TATCTTTTCGGGATAGCCTGGGATCTTTAGACATGTTAGGGCAACTAGGCTAAGAGAAGAACAACTCTTAATTTAAAACCGAAATTTGTCCTAGACGCACCCTCTGCTGCTAAGGCTGCAGTACATGTCGTATCCCAACGTCCCTAATAGATTATAGTAATTATGACCATGAATTACCCAAGTCTCTTCTCCATACAAAAACGGGTGTTGCTATGTAAATAATTACTTTTACTTACTTTCTATTTTCAAATACATTCCTTCCTTTTTCTCTTTTATCATATATTTTCTTTCGTTTTCACTTAGTTTCTTTCACTAGTTCTTTCTTTCTTTTTCTCTTTCTGCTTTTTTTCTTTTTCTCTCCTTGTCACTTTCTTTCTTTGATGTACTTCTTCTTTGATCTCTTTTCTGTTCCTAATATTGAATGAAGCTTAGTGCGACACAAAACCGGGACTAAGGGGCACCTGGTCTACAAGACTATCTTGGTTACCATCACTCCCAACGAGGAACTCTAAAATGTATTAAGCGTTGCATTATAATCTATAAGACAAGCTTGTCACACAGTGAGATGTCCAATCGCTTTCCTTGTCTTTCTGCTTTTATGTGTTGTGTTCCTTGGCGATTATGGCTCTCCATAACTTTCTATTCTCTGTAACTCTTAGTAAGTTTTATTTTTCCACCATCTCTCCCATTTCCTGTTCTGCTAAATATTTACACAAGATTTTTAGGCAGGTTGTTCGCTGCTTTCCTCTGTTCTTCAGTACGTCCTGTGAATATAAAATTCTCCAAGTCCTCTTTCCTCATTATGTACCCTATAAATTTCAGCTGTCTCCTTCTGTTTAGGTTTAAGCGTCATTTTTGTTTTCATTTTCCTAAAGAAAACTTTCTCGTTACTCATGTGTTCCATCCACGGAATTTTCAGCACCCTTCTGTAGAAACCTATTTCTGCTGTCTCAAGTTTTTTTTTCCTCATCTGTGAAGCGATTGCCCAGAATTCATTGCTATATAAGGAGGACTAATATTATATAACAGTTTGTTTTTGTTTTGTTTTTGTTTTTTTTAACGAAATTTTTTAAAATATTTGTTTAGATTTTTGGAAGGCAATTTTCACTGCGTCTTCGGCTTTCGGTGCCGCTTTTTTCATCCCCTGTTAAAAGACTTGCCAGATATTTAAATATTGTTTGATGTTGACGCCTCCAGTTCGTAGTTTGCATTTTGGTATTTTTCTCTTGCCGAGAAACATATATTCTGTCTACTTACAATTGATATTTAGTCCTTTTGTCACACTTTCCTCTAAGAGGTCCTTTCTTGTCTTACTTTATGTTTTTATATTAATATATAGCATATTATTATATAATACCATTACTGCATTGTATATTATTATATATTATTACTATCATATTGTGTAGTATTGTATCCGATTTCACTAGTCTCAGCTCTTTATTTTTGCACTTTGTTTGTTTGTTGTTGTTGTTGTTCCTTTGACCTTTTCCTAGAATTTATTATTGCTGTTGTTTTTTTATAACTTTCAATTGACGTTGTTGTCATTGTTGCCGCTGTTTACTATTTTGCCTTATTTTTCCTTCATCTGATCTTTTCCTTTTTTGTACTTTTCTCTTTCATTCTCTCTGAGAATCATTTTTTTTATTAACTTCAGCCAGATACAGAATGTATGGGACACTTTTCTTCTTTCTCGTTATACCTACTTTTTCTTATTCTCTCTCTTTCTCACACACACACACACACACACACACACACACACACACACACACACACACACACACACACACACTCTTTCTCTCTTAAGACAATTCTCTTTCCTTACAACAACTAATATTTTCTTACCCACAATTTATTTTTGTTTTTTCTTTCTTTTCGTAACACAATTTTTTCTATCTATCTATCTATCTATCTATCTATCTATCTATCTATCTATCTATCTCAGCAGTCTGTTCATATATATCTATCTAAGTCTGTTCATATCTATCTGTATGCCTGTCTGTCTCAGTCTGTTTATATCTGTCTGCCTGTCTATCTGAGTCTTTTCATATCTGTCTGTCTCAGTCTTTTCATATCTATATATCTATCTATAATAAAAAGCGTATTAAGAAAAGGTCATCTAAGTTAATTCTGGTTTATAACGCTTTTAAAGTAAGCAGGCTTCGTAATTAAATTGCTCAACACAGAGAGAGAGAGAGCGTTAATAGTAGTAAATCCTAAATGAATGAGCAACTTGTGTACACTATTTACATTATTCGCACTATTGTCCTCATCTTTGTCGCCATATTTATTACAACGTTTAGGCCGTTGTACGCTCCGGCCTTCTTCTTGGTTGGAATGCTCACCGGGGTAGACTGTTTCATGTGCCATGTCTAATGAATGTCAGTTATCTGTTAATTCCCCTCTCTAAGTTCTCCACCGCCTTAACCAGGTATTGAACTGGATCTAACAAGCGCCTTTATCCACTGTGCCATGTGTTTTTGGAGACATCTGTGTATGAATTTCTGGGTATTATAAACCTAATGTCTTCAGCGACCATTTTTACCAGTTCTCATATTGCAATTTTGCCGTTATCATTGCATGTTTTTACCAGAGCTCATATTGCAATTTTTGTTGTCATTATCGCTTTTCTCTGGCACTCCTTATTACTGGTTCCCATATTGTATTCATTTCTATGCTTGGTCGGCTCAGGAGATTTTTGTGGCCTAGCATATATGGTGATTCCTTACGTTTACGAATTTTCCAATGGGGTTCTTTGTTTATAATCTCAACCTGATCCCACAAAGGGCGGTGATCTCCCTTTTCTCTCCATATGTGGTCAGTCCGAATAATGTAAATAGTGTATATTACCTCATCTCAGAAATATAGACACAACTTATGTGTCCTTAGTCGCGAGATAAGCGTGCTAGCCATTACACCTTGTTGGAGTGCCTACTGTGCCTGAAAGTGAAAGACGAAGTATCTATCTATCTATCTATCTATCTATCTATCTATCTATTTATCTATCACTACGTTTCTATTATCTATCTATTACTACGTTTCTATTATCTATCTATCTAGCTAGCTCTTTCTCTTTCTCTCTCTCTCTCTCACTGTGCTTGAAACAGGAGCGATTACCAAGCGTATCTTACATGTGGCACAAAGCCGTAAATACAGGGCACACGGTGAGGATGGCGATCACTATTCAGTCGCAATTGATCCAGAGAGACAAGCTTGATAACCTTTACACAACGTCGAAGTGACCAGAGAAGTCTTATAGTGATTTACTAAGCGTAGTCACTTACTCGTTCGTAATGGATGGAGTAAAACAAGCCAGCTAACTACTACAATACTTCGAAGTGCACAAAATAGCAATTTACTAAGCGTCGCTTACATGTGACACAAGGGCGAAAGTATGGAACACTCAGTAAGGTTCGAACTCACTACCCAGTCGTAACGGATCGAGTGAAACAAGCTGATTAAACATTACACCACAACGAATACCCAAAATAGCGATTTAATGTGTGGCTAAGAGATAGCACAGAACCGAATATAGGGGCGCACAGTGAGGATCAAATTCACTAATCAGTTGTAATGGGTCGAGCGAGACACGCTAGTTTGTCATCACATCAAAGGCGATTTACTTAGCGTAGATTAGATGTGACACAAGGCCGAATGTGTGGAGCACCAAGCGAGAATCGAACTCTCTACTCAGTCGCAATTGATCTCGCGAGATAAGCGTACTAATCATTACACCTACTTGGAGTGCCTATTGTGTTTGAAAGTGAAAGAGGAGGTATTTACCCAAGTCTTCCCACTGAGAGGGGATGTAACACAAGGTAAGATTTGATATTGGGAATCCGAGCACATAAAAATTGCCTCGCCCCGCAAACGTCGATTGCACTGGCATCGGTATAACTACCAATCCCCCCTCTCTAGTGCAATGAGAGGGTTTAGTCTCGGGTAGCTGTCCCCCACCTCTGGACCGGGCACCTCGCAGTATTTTATTTTCCCCAGATTCGTCTCTCCGTAGGCAGAGCTACAAGTGAGTCGGACACAGTCCAAAGACAGAGACGCAACTGAGAGATCATAACACCGACTGCATGGGCCGCGGAAGAATTTTTAATTTTCTAAGCACAAGGCCGAAATTATGGGGCACCCAGTGAGGATCGAACTCACTACTCAGAAACAAGCGTGCTAACCATTACACCACGTTGGAGTGCCCGCTGTGCTTGAAAAGGGGGTCATTTTGAGATAGAACATATTGTTTTATACTCTAAAGTAAGATGACGTCATGGTCTCTGTATGAATTCATCCAATCAGTGCGTTCGTTGCTTCTGGTCGTAATCTGTACATAATTTGAGATCAAAACTATGCTTTTATCCACCTGTAAACGGAACACATTCCTTTTTTTAGACAACAAACGTCGCGACTCCATATCCAAGCGATATCAATGAAATGTGAATGCCGAAAACCAAAGAAAGAGAAATAAAGGAAGGAAATGAGAGGAGAAAAATGTTAAATCTCGCCCCCTTAGATTACGTGAACATGATCTGATGCAAACGACCTCAATATGTATGCTTCTTTGTACGCGTAATAGTATATCATTGAACAAATTTATTCGTCAATATGAAATCTATCTATCTATCTATCTATCTATCTATCTCAAACTGGTCATATCTATCTTTCCTATCTGTCTCAATTTGATTATATCATATCATATCTATCTATCTATCTATCTATCTATCTATCTATCTATCTATCTATCTATCTATCTCAAACTGGTCATATCTATCTTTCCTATCTGTCTCAATTTGATTATATCATATCATATCATCTATCTATCTATCTATCTATCTATCTATCTATCTATCTATCTATCGCAAACTGGTCATATCTATCTTTCCTATCTGTCTCATTTGATTATATCATATCATATCTATCTATCTCTATCTATCTATCTATCTATCTATCTATCTATCTCAAACTGGTCATATCTATCTTTCCTATCTGTCTCAATTTGA